CGATTGCCTCCAACCTAACAGCAATGCCCTCCAACCTAACAGCGATGCCCTCCAACCTAACAGCGATGGCCTCCAACCTAATAGCGATGGCCTCCAACCTAACAGCGATGGCCTCCAACCTAACCGCAATGGCCTCCAACCTAACAGCAATGGCATCCAACCTAACAGCGATGGCCTCCAACTCAACAGTGATGGCCTCCAACCTAACAGCAATGGCCTCCAACCTAATAGCGACGGCCTGCAACCTAACAGCACAACGCCAACCTAAGAGCGATGGCCTTCAACCTAACTAAGAGGGATGGCCTCCAACCTAAGAGCAATGGCCTCCAACCTAAGAGCGATGGCCTCCAACCTGAGAGCGATGGCCTTCAACCTGACAGCGGTGGCCTCCAACCTAAGAGCGATGGCCTCCACCCTAGTAGCGATGGCCTCCAACCTCATAGCTGACGCGTTTCTGTTGTTGTTTCTTATGGTTTTCAGGAAATGACATCTACGGCATTCTTTCCTTGATCAGTGGATGTGCGTGAGTACAGACCAATGCCGATGTGGTACGGGCAAATTAAGATCAACACGCCACCAAACAGCATCAACTATATAGTATAAGTATAAGAATGCTCCTAGTAGCGATGCCAGGAGCCCCTAGTAGCGTCCTTGTTCCTAGTAGTAAGGCCAGGAGCCCCGATCGTAGCGTCCTCTACCCCCTTGCCAAAGGGAGGGCCACACAGACTCCGAAATGATTGGGTTTGCATCCAGCTACCCTGACCAACTCTTGCCAAAGCAGAGACGACTCCAACTGGCAAGCGTCCTTAGATGTGTCACATCTCTGGGGCGTGTAGAAGTACCAAATAGCTCGCAGGTCATTCTTATCCGGCATTTGAAGAAAAAATGGCGCCCAAAGACTGGAGAAGCAAACGATAAATTCTGGAGACTCACCAATGGCATCGATGGCATTCCGTGCAGCACCACTGTGCCCTGACAAAACCTTCTGCAAATGAGGGTTCACTCTGGCGGTGAACGCATGTTGGGGATAGAGCCGTTGCGGCAGCGCCCCATCAGAAGGGCTTTCCATCACTACTCTGTACCCCAAAGCTATGAGTTCCGCCGCAAACTCAAGCATAAAGCCAGAATCAGTTCTCATTGAAAAATCATAAGCCCAAAGAAGAAAGAGAGGTGATGGAGCAACCACTGTCTCCACAGGCTGTTCAAGAAAAACCGGGCCAGTGTCATCCTGTAATCTCACCAACCTCAGGGTTGGGCCACAACCAGCGCAACTAAAGTGTTTCATCACTCTGCATTTCGACATACTTATTAAAAAATATGATCTAGCACTTGCCACACATGGTCAACATGATATAAGAAACTGCCCGGGTCCTGCTTGTGATAATTAAAGACCACGCTGCCAAAACAACTGCGCCAGCACATAGGGCCAACCGCGACCAAGATGCCAACATGTCATTTGCGTGAGTCTCACAAATTGTGAGTTATTTGTTGTATTCGCTCGTCTGTTTAGGTTTGCGCCCGTTTGTCTCTTGTCTTGTCACTTGAATACTTCACTTGATTCAGACCATACATGTATAGTCGTTTGTGTTGAGGCTTAAGTAACAGTGGAGTGTAGGGACGCTCACAGCTGTTGACTTCGCTTGGACAAAAGAAGCGGGCGCAAGTGCGTTTGGGCTCGTGGTGACAGGCCACCTGTGCAGTTTTCGAAGTGAAACGTTGCCCGAAAATGGGGGATTGTTCGACCGATCACTTTTCTACCACCTTTAAGCGTCGGAAAGAGGTCCAACTACTTACGTATTGAAACTTACTTAAGGCACTTGTTCCTAATAGCGTTCTTGCTCCTAGTAGCGTGGCACCTGTTACTACTAGTAAGGCACTTGTTACTAGAAGCGATGCACTTGTTCCTATATTGAAGCTTGCAGTGACACGTGTTTGTTTTGCTCTCTTTATTCCCTCATCCGGCATACGGGCTCGAGCGTAGGGACGCGTGAATTGGCAACATGTAGATCACCTCACCGACCTTAACTGCATGTGTTTCACTGGATGCCAAGCATGGAGTGCCTTTGGAATCTTTTTCGTGCGCTTCGGCTTAAATCAAACATAATCAAACGATCACAACAACGGTTTTGATCCTGGAGACAGACAGACAGGACAGGACAGGACAGGCCAGACCAGAACAGAACAGAACAGAACTGTTCTGTTCTGTTGCCTTCTCAGGAGTCTCAAAGCAACTGAAGTCTCCTGGCAAAGGCCGTACAGGCACATACCCATCCAGGACAGGATGCAGGCCCGGCTTGCTGATTGGGGAGCACTGTGGCACATCAGGGAGGGCACCCCCCTGACATCACCTAGGCTGCCAAAGACCAGGCGGCCATCCCACCACCAATCAGTGGGGCATTTGAAGCATGTCCTCAAGCGCCTACCACAAGGCTAGCGGCCCGGATGCAGTGACAGCACAACTGCTTCGATCAGCACCTGTGGCGCTACCGCCCCTCCAGCAGCTCCACCAAATGGAAGCAGCGTGCCTCCCCTCCCAGTTGAGCACATGGTGGTGGCAAAGAATCGCATCGAAAGGCCCATCATCTTGACATGGCAGACGTTGCCGACTTCGAAAAGAAAAGGGGCTCCTGGATGACTGGCAGCCTACATGGATCACAAAGCCAGGCCAGGGGCCGTTTTGCATGTGGCACTTGGGAGAGTTCGACAGTCACCAAGGCCCAACAAGAGACATGGCATCGTTCATGGACATATCCACTGTCTACGACACAGACCTTGTTCGGCTCCACTGGCCTATCCACCTCTGGCGGAACCAGGACCCAAGGAACTGGAGGACCAGGACCCAAGGCGATCGTGGCCGAGGAGATGACACCGTTCTTCGAACTGTGAACTGTGGGGTCGCAGCTGGTGGCCCACAAGCTCCACTACTGGCCAAGGCCTATTTGGCACCAGCCTTAGTGCCCTGGGTGGAGCACCACCCTCACATGCACCTCAGTGGCTGGGTTGACAATGTTGGCTATGACTGTGAAGGCCCATAGCCCCACGCAGCTGGCAGCACAGGCCGTTCACCAACGCCTTACCGACGGACGGGCCTCCGAGTCAATCAACACAAGACGACTTTCATCGCCACGGATGCACCAGCAAAGCCCAAACCTCCGGTGGCAATCGACAAATGCGCGACGGGAATCGACAAATACCGGCCGCTCGGAAACGACAAAGACCTGTGCTCAAGAAGCGGGTTCACCAAAGCCAAACACCGGGGCCTGAAGCTCAGGAGCCTCAAACTTCCCAACCTGAAAACATGGCTACGATTACATCGTGGTGGAATTCAGCCTGTAACGCTCTGGGGTGTGGAAAGGCAAGGGCTGGCCCCAAGATATCGTGCAACTCTCCGACAAGCATTGGCCGGGCACCTGGGCCACCAGCGAGGGGGCAATTTGGACATCACATATGACATCCATGCCAGGCAATACCAAGATCCAACAGATCAAGTGCTACAACAACACATCAAAGTCCCACACAGAACAGAACAGACCAAACCAAAGACCAGACCAGAGACCAGACCAGAAAAAATCGGAGCAGAGCAGAGTAGAGCAGACCAGACCAGACAAACAGACAGACACACCGGCTCGTAGGATGGCCGCTGTGAGGCTCTCATGGCGAAGGTGGAAAGGTCGGTGGTAATTATAGCGAGTGGTGCTGTGAGGGCAACGGTTGGATTGGGTGGGCGTGTGTTGGATGGTGTCGATCGTGTTGAGAATGGTGGTGTGTATCGAGGATCGCCCGGGATAGTCAGGGCGGTTGCTGGGCGCAAGGAAAGTGGTGGGTCGGGCGCACGGAAATTGATGTGTGGCAGAGTGTCGTAGTAGAGCCACTCGTACCCGAGGCTGGACTATCCACAGTACTGTAACTAGGATTTTACCGCACAAGCTTATTCGCACAGATTTTCAGAAACAAGAAGTGAAGAAAAGGTGTACAAGGAGAGTCGAGGTTGAAACAAGAGTTTCAACTCGATTCGGTACGCGGACGACTTCTTTTTGCTGCATCCAGATTGAACGTTCCTTGGATTAGTTTAGTACACCCCGAGTCCCAGGATGTCGAGATGAGTTCGTTTAGGTCGTTTGAGAGTTGTTCGTCAGTCACTGCAAGTCAGAAGCGAAAAACGTGGGTAGCGCACCTTACGAACTTACGGTAAACTACACTTCCCCTGGATCTTTCCACTCACAACAGGCTCACTCGATGCGTCCGGTACACTCCAAAACTCGTTCTCACATTCTTGAAACTCTCCAAGCAAACAACAACGAAAGCCAACGCAGCGCACTCCTTCGCGCACTTTTCCCCACACTTGAGCCAAAAGTAACGGTCATCGAACGACTGTACAGATGCATACTACACACAAGCAACTCTTTACAAAAAGCTTCTAAACACTCGAAAATGCTAAAGAACTTTGTCAAAACTTCAAGAAACGAACTACAGTGTTAAAGTCCGGTGCTCTCCCATTAAGAACGCAAACCAAACAAAGAACCAAACAAAGCAACAAGCACGAGCGAGGTGGCCATCCAACCAATGGATTTCTTCACCCGTCTTGGACATTTCGCTCGGAACAACTGGCTGACATCAAGCCTTCTTTTTCTTCTTCAGTGAGGACAGACATTGCGAACAAAAGTCTTTCGACATTGGTGCGACCATGCCTGAGCAAGTTGGATTCAAAGGAACCTTGCTCCCACTCACTGGAAAGTAGACCTTCTCACACTGCCCCAAAGACTTGGGCAATGGTATATCACTCACTGTGACAGAAAGTTCCTTCTTCAAACGACTCTGAGAATCAGCATGCTCACGACGCCGACTCGGACAGCAGCAGGTCAGCAGGCTGCCACAAATGACTCCCGCTGCAACGACCATAGCGGCCGCATCAACCGCATTTTCTGCACTCCGAAGGGCAGCAATGGGAGGCAAGATCCAAGGTTTCGCATCATCTGGACCGAAGGAGTTCTGCGCAAATAAGACCGATTAGAGCCATAAAGAGTGGCTCCTCTGGTGTTAATGGCAATACATTCCTGGTGAAACACTGTTTTGTGGATCATGTGTAATAGTCAGCTTCTGCACGGCAGGCGGAAAGGTGAAACCTTCTGTCCACTCTGGGAAGGTCTGTTTAACTTTTTCTTTCTCGGTGTCCACAGGGAAGAAGTGGAGCAAATAGCACTGCGCTCGACTCCCTTTGTAAGGGAACTGGACCGTCAGATCTAGCACCCCATTCCGAATGTCATTGTGATTCAACTCAAACCGGACGAACTGAGTGACATCAACTGGTGAGCCATCATCCGCCACAAAAAGTGGCTCTTGCGGGAGCTGCATGGTGAAAGCAGGGGTGTCCCAAGGTGGGACGGAACTCCCTGGGTCGCCTTCCATGGTACAGCGTGCGTGAGCGCAAACTGTAGGCAATAGGAGCAGGACCATAGAGGGCCTTCCTGACTGAGGGCGGCTACACGCTTGAGCCAAAATGGCTACGGAGTGTGGCATAAAGACTGATCGGAGGCGCAGTAGGGAGGGGCGTTAGGTTGCTCCAGTGCCTGCAGGGACAGCTTCTGGAAGCGATGCATTGTGTCGCCCCTGCCTGTTCTGTGTCCTCATGGAGGTAAATTTCTGCAGTAGTATCGCCGGCTTGCGGGGGGGATCACCGACAGAACCACTCGTGTGGGGCTCTGGCATATTAGGGTCGGCAGCGACCTCTTCTTTTGTTGCAGCAGCTGCAAGGCCATCCAGCCCACGAGAGTGTACGTGTGGACCCAGCTCCGGGATGCTGGGTAGTTGCTCCGCGGTTTTCTGCGCAGAGGAGCGTCGCTTGACAGCTTTCGATTTGACCGCGCTGGGTTTCCTCGGCGACTGCCGTGTTTTCTTCTGCGTGGCAGCCATACAGGGGGCTGCGTGCTCTTCGTGGCTGGACTGACTGCTCGGCGACGCCGTTGCCGGTTCTACTCCACATGGAGGAGAGGCCGTGCTCTTTGGCATTTCTTGCCTCCATCGGTTTCGCCTCTTAACTTCTGTGGGGGGGCGTGCTCTATACCCGATGAGGAAGTAGGGGGAGCAGAAGGACGGCTACTAGGGAGCCGCCTTCGCTTGCTTTGCTGGTGCGAGGTTGGTCAAGATGATCACAATGATTCGTTGGTCCGACACCCCATTCCGTCTGGGTTATGTAGAGTGCATGCCGCTTGGTACCGGTCTTCTCAAGGTGGGTCGGTGTCGACCTTTGCTTAAGGGACTCTCCTGATCCATTGTCAGTACCAGGTACTGGAGGTCGACTGCGGGGAGGTGTGATCAATGACTTGTGTGGTGTCACCTTTGTCACCCTGAATCTTGCCTTTTGCCTCGCTCGCATCTATATCGACAACTTCAACGTTGTCTGCGCTTTCTGCTTTCTCCGTTTCCTCCTCCTCCTCGTCTGTCTCGTCTTCCTCTTCTCCCTCTTCGGCTTCGT